AAATAGCTAATTATGCCGGAAGTGCGATGTAGCCTCGTTGAGATCCACACTGGCATCATTCTTTGCCGATGTCTTCATCGGTATGCTATTACAGGACAAGTTAAAGCCGAGGGTCTTCGGTTTCATTATATGTTGCCATTAAGTAAGCGACATCCTTGTTTTGCCGCAATCAACTTGTAGTATCGAGAACCAGTCAAACACATTTAACCACGCTCATCAAGCAAAAAATTACCTACGGTTTTGAGGAAAACACGTGATTATGTTTTATTCATGTCTCTACAAGCAGACTTGTCCGGGTGTGTTGCAGCGTTTCATGTATGGGAAAGATACATGGAATTGGTAGTAAACAAACTTGTACAGATTTATGCCACTTTTGCTGAAACGGAGTTTGATACATACCACAGTGCATGGGCCTGAAAGCGTCTGCTCGAAAGCTATGCATCCAAATGTATTTCAGTGCTCTCGGTCAGAGTTACGGAAGAATGATTACCCAGAGATTTATCAGCGCTGACCTTGTATATAGGAAAAAAGAGCCTGTATTTCCGACAGTAGAACGTATACCAGTCTTCATACAGCTGCCGTGCAAGACCGCAATTGCTACGGATATTCTACCGCGCCGTCTTTCGTTAGCACTCCTACGCACATATCCAGCATAACATACAACTATAATTCAACAGCATTCTGATGGTGAGACTAAACTCAAAGGATAAGAGGCCTGTCCTCTGTAACGCAATATATTAGTACTCATTTATACTCATGTGGAGCGAGATAAATTGATTTCACGACTAGGCACCTAAATGATAGAGTAAAGGAACATCACCTGTATGTGCTTGGAAATGAAAACGGAAAGCATGCAAATCTTCAATTGCCGTGCACCTTTTTAACTCAATGCATAGGCCACAAAGTCAGATGATTCTTTTAAAATTTACGAAGAGGTCTCGAATAACTGAACATATGTCCTCAATCGAATATTAGAGGCTGCTTAGGCAATAGCTATCCGGCTTTATGAACCGGAGCTTTGTATTCACAAGAAGCTAGCTAAAATGCAAATACTACCCTGGCCTAAACGGCCGATGACATCTGCTATGTGAGGTCACAAACGGTCGGTTGTCGTGACTTAGCAGCCAGCACATTCAGTACCCCGTTAACTCGCTCCAATAGTATCCATTGGCAATATAATGCAATTTGATTTGAAGATAATTGGAAAATTTAATTGCCAGCTGTACGCCGTAACGACGCATCGCTGCCACACGACTACCACCAGTCGCGCGTGAGCTGAGTATGCCGCGAGGACGCCCATCCCTACGTGGATTTTAACCATTGAACCTATGGTTGCAAACGAGAGGCACACATCAATGGGCCACCGGCCGATTGCGGCTAATTATATAAACCTGAAGGGGTTACCAAAATATATGCTCGTTTTTCCTGACTACTGAACATACTATAAATTTTTTTAAATTGGCAAGAATTTAATGTTTCTATATAGAGGGATCTTGCTGTTCTTCGTAGCATCAATGGGAGAACTGCAACAGTTTTTAAGACACATTGGTTGCCGCCGCCTTCAGTGCTTTTGGGCGTATTTTGTCGGCATCTGGAGAGCTATGATCGCGCAATGAAATTAACTTTGTTTGCTTCGTGACTGACTTTAAAATTACATGTGTAAACCATGTATAGTTTGTGCTGGAATGTATGTGACAGGGCTTTGAATGCTTCGTCAATGCATTTTGCCCTATCACTGTTACGAAAGTGGAGGAATGTGTTACTTCAATTCAAAATATTGTTGACATGCACAAACAGCGCTCGTTTTCTGTCAACAACAGTTATTGGTCACTCTTAATACGTTATGTTTTTCCTCAAGGACAAGTTTGGGGCGTTTTTTTATGGATCATTCGATTGTCCCAAGATTAGTAGTTTCGGCTAGTCCTGTGGGCTCATCATGCCTCACTCGTTTCTGCCATGAATATTTTGGTACTTCTTCTTAGAAATGACAAAGCTTTTACAGAACAAAAGGGTTTCGTTTCCATGATCTACTGAACATGTCGCTGACTATTTCTAAGAAATCGCTTCAAACGTTGTCGAGGGGATTGTTTTTCGAGTGCGCCCAAGCAGATTCTTCGACAAATAAATTCAGGATGGGTTTATTATCGAAATGTTCGAGTGTTCCGCTTTTTCAGATGGATATACTGCATAATAAAGCATAGTTAAACTTTAGTACTACATGACCGCTGAGACTTAATTGACTCTACATCAATGAAGTTCGCACATGTGCTCTTCATGTGTGAGCGAAAAGTCCAACATGAACAAAGTTATTTTGTCGTGTATCTAGCGCAGATTGCATCTGCCTTTTTTGACATTTTCGGTTATATATAAAAGGAGGTTATCCTATTCAGTTCCTGTATGCTATCCTAATAGTTATTTACACATAGTATTGGTATTCCAAACAGGTTAATAAGCACTCATTTCTTTCCTAAAGTCGAAGCTATTTTGAGCCCAATTCGCTGCATATTTTTAAATCAACTGAGTAGTGTGTATGATATAGGGAGGATTCTATCTTGCTTACGTATGCTCCTTAATTCTTCTTCACTATATATGAATCAGTTTGAATTTTATTATTGTTATAATAATAAAGTCTACGCTATTTTAAAAGCTACAATTTATATTTTTGATGGTTTTATTTTTTCCGTATTAGTTAGTAAGTTAGCATGGTGTTGTTGGATATCACACATGGAAACAAGCGAGAAAATGAAGCACACACCTTCATACTTGCAATTAACTTGAATGTTGTGTTGACAGTAAGCAAATAATTACCTCTCACATCTTGTCATCATTATTTGAACATCAGATAATTTCATTTATCATGGAGATAGCATAGTTGCTATAGTCAGTGTTGACACCTTTACAATAACTACAGCAGTTGATCAATTATTCCTAGCTAGTTTGGTTCCTTTTCACGTTATAAAATCTGTGGGAATCAGCAGGCCTGTTTTCGACAAGTTTACTTTGCCTTAACGCATTCTAATTTGGTTGATTGAATCAAGCTCGGGACATACCCTAATCAGTAAACTGTTCGATAAATCTTAGCACAGATGTTGGAAAACCCAAGCGTTCAGGCTACATAAATTTACCACGGTTTTGGATAAAAATTAAACTTTTGCAGCGTAAACCTCCACAAAACTTTAAGCAGCCTACCTGAGTAAGTCACACGCCTAGGTATCAAATAACTTAAATTATATTAAATTTAATTGTATTTGGGAGGTTTGGATGTCACACTCTTTGCAGACAAAGATTAGGCAAGTAAAGCCATAAACTATGTTTTTGAGCCGATAAATCCACTAGGTATTTATGGAGTAATACGGCTGCAGTGATTACATTTTAAGTATTAGTTGTATCCATGATAACCTACCAATAACTTGAATGAATGTGGATTAAGCGAGCAGTGTCAAGCGGAATCTAAACTTAAGTGGCGTACGTTACTTCTTGTTGGACATAAATGACCACGCCTAGAATATTTGGTACCACACATTCAGAATATTGAGGTTGCAATTCGCAAATGTATTTATTGGGTAATTTACTTTTTAAATAATATTAACATGTAAATCATTATCCACCTGTATAAGCTTTAAATATCAGGGTACCTAGCTCTACAAATAAATCATCTGTCACGTAAAATATATATATATTTAAAGTATTTCTAATAGGTCTAGAAGAAAAAGTTAAGTTTCACCTAAGATTAAAAGGTTAAGAGCGAAACGAAATTTCGTCCTTTGATATGACCTTAGTTTAAAGAAGCACTTATGATTGTACCGCACTTCATTATTCATTACCAACGAATACTCAAAGTTTGCTGTTTCGAAAAGTAATTAAAATTTTGACAAAAGAAAGCATTTTAAGAAAACATCACCCCTAAATTTTTCAAAAATAGGCTTACAGCTTAAAGTGTATTACATTCTTGCAATACAATTTCAAATTCGTCGTGCTGTTAGCAAACCGCACCCAAATATTTTTTACCACACTTTCGTTCATAGATATTTGAACCTGTTGATATTACTCTATTATTAAGTCGATATATTCAGCTTAAATCCAAGCGCTTTTGCTTCTAACAAAGAACAACGATCTCAGATACGTTCTGCAGGCATTCACTTAAATGCCAAAGCAAAACAAACGCTAAAAGTACAAAAATCGAGAATATTATCATTATGACCGAGAGCGCGCCGGTCATGTTCTTTCTTACCTTGCGTAAAATGTTGTTAATTTATAGCGAATTGTTTCAGATGAAATAAGAAGAATTACAAGTTTACTTAAAATATAGTATTGCTCATTCATCTGCGCTAGTTCTAATTACCTCATAACAGTTAGTGCATTTGCATTTGTAATGCATTACTACATCAACTTGCGTATGTTTGCTGAGTCACATTTTAACGTTTGGTAGGAAGAAATGCTTTGTTTTTACAAACAATTCTGTTTAATCTGTTTATTGGCCAGCTTAATCTTCTTATTGCGTAATGGCTGGTAGATTATTCTATATCTTGCACATTAAATATTTTTAGTAAAATATTTGAGAAATGCAGTTCTTAGTTTACTCTGCATCATTTAGACTCAGGCCACATATTTGAGATTTTGAAGGCATTATACTTGCTGATTTCTCACGCATATTGCAATAGTGTGCGTTCTAAGTGCCACCATACATAACAAAGTTATTGCCGAAAGGTTAGACAGCCGACAGGATGGTGTAGATCTATTGTAGTTCAGTTCCATTCCTCGAAGTGCAACCTCGGTATTTATCATAAATAAATATATTCGTTGCAAGTAAGACAACTACTTATAGCTTACTGCAAGTAACGCTTGCAGCTATTAAAACAGGATTAACATAATACTTTGAAATTTGCAGGCCTTATTAGTTTGTCCACTACTAGTGTATTGCTACATAAACCTTTGTCGACGACCTAACAAATTTCAAGCACATTCAAATGGAGACCTGTAGATTGTAAACAGTTACTTACCGACAAATAGAATGCCAAGGAGCATTAGTACCATTGTATCATATGAAGTGAATATCTGTCATTGTATTACACCTTCTATTTTTATATATTCCAAAATAATTTCCACTGGTACATACTGCGAATTTAACATTTAACCTAACTTCCGACTTTTAAGACTGCATAAACATGGCCGTTCAGCTAAACCGCCTAATTGAGTTTCCATAGTCAAATCACTCTTTGACTTTTAGCCAATGGCGTTACCTTTGCGCTGAGCGACTGAACGATTTTCGCCCAATCAGGATATAATAAACAATTTCTTCATGCATCGGTATTTGGTAGGAAAACGTGCCGTATCTTTCAGTGACGCTTAATAGTAAGAAGTCGTCGTGTTGCGACACAATTTACTGATATCGGTTAAATAAACTCTTCTAAATTAGTTATTATAAATAAACTATTTCGTAAAATTCAACAGCAGCAATATGCTTACCTATTTCTTTTAAGCAATATAAATTATATATTAAGAAATTTCTGTAGCGTACGCGGTAAATGTACGCTTATATTTGCCATTTAGTATGTGTTATATAACTCAATAAATTAATTCAGTATTTAAAATCTGATTCACCAAATTCATTAATTCATTTACCTTAATAATTAATCAATAGTGATTCGCGTGTGCTTTTCCAGTGCAGAACTATTTTTGAAACAATACTTAAACTCCCTTAGATAGTATGTTTCCGACAGGTTTGTGTCATTTATTTGAGCACCGTAATGATTGTATCCTCATGTTTGATACATGACAGTAGATTTATAAAATTATATTAACTGTACCTCCATATGGTAAATTGTCATTATGTGAGTTGTAACATATATTCCCTTCCTGTCTTGGCTCTTATCCTGGAGCAGTCAATAATCTAAAATAATTTGTAGAAACAAGGAGAGCATATCACTTCATACTTCACTGATTTCAAAACTATTTAACGGACTATAGCAAATGTTTTCAAATAAAAATTGTTTTCTCCAAGTTAAGCACTAGCAGATCGAACGCTGCAAAAGTATATCCAGTGTGTTCCTGCCAGATATAAACCTTTGATTATTGAGTTTTGCTTGGCTGGCCCAGTATTGTCAACACTTTCAAAATATTTCCTTTTTCTTTACTGCCATTTGATAATTTCTCATGCTTGCACCAGGAACCTGTAGTTCACATTAACCTTTTAGCATCGGAAACCAGTTGTTCGCAACTTCACCTATACATTTATTAGGGTGGTATAGGAAACGTGACACTGCGCGTATACAATTATGACATCATGTTACAGCTCTAAACTTATATCGAAACGGAATATCTACAAGCAAAAGCTTAAAATTAATCTTCATACCAAAACGTAACCCTAATCGCCATGCACATACCTAAAAAACAGCCGCCTTATGGGGATGTAAAACCGCCTGCAGAGCATTTGTGCTGCCTAAAGCTGCAATTCTATGAATTGGGTTCAAGAATGGGTGCATGAGCAATATGGTTTTATTTAAGGTGACACAGTCGTTATTAATTAAATGTTAGTCAGGTTGCTGCGATATTTTTAGTTTTAAATATGTATACAATATGTTTAAAATTTAACTGCCTAAGGAATGCCACAGACGTATAAATCCATCAAAACCAACAAGCCATCAAAAAGAGCTTATCAAAAACTACACTCCAGCATTAAAGTGCAACACTCATTTGCACAAACATTGGCGTTAAAATAGATTCCATATTTCAAATTCGCTTACGATATGCAAGTTAAAGGAAAGTTGAACAAGAAATACCGAGCCTCTTATAGTTACTTGCAACTATGTATTCATGTAGCTTTATTGATTGATCCTTATACTGGATACTGAATACTATCTTATAGAGCAAGTAGAAATGAATTCTGTATAACTCTTCGGAAATATGGTGAAAAAAGTTATATAAGTTGTCAACCGTGAATATCGTTGTCGTTCTCACGTAACATTTAAAATATCTGACTCAAGATATTTCAGAACTCACAAGTGTGCTATGTCATCCTAAATACGCAATCGTTCTCTGAATCGAATAGTGGTAAATAATAAATATAACAACGTTTTTAACTGCTGCACAGATATTGCCTCCAGTACATGTTCAGGTAAACTGCTCCAAATCTTTACCACTCTCCGTTTGAAGCACAGTGGTTGGGGAACAAATTTCACATCCGGCACGACAAGTTTGTATCTGTGCCCGCGTGTGCTGCATGGCCCTCTTAAGGCAGCATTGGCCTCAGTATGGGGAAGTCACCAAGATGTAGAATACGGTAGGTCATAATGAGGTCGACTCGCACCCAACGGTAGGATTTGGTGTAGAGTATTATTTCCTTGCACCGGTCTTCATACCCCAAATCACGTAAACTCGGGATGAGCCTGATAGCAACGTGTTGGACCCGTTCATTCTTTTGTGCCTCGCCTCGGGTAATCGAAACATAGGCGGGCGAACCGTAAATTAGCATTGGTCTAATGATGGAAGAGAAGAGGCGAGTGGCAACCTCTTCAGACCACGTGCCGGAGCTACGTTTGAGCGCCCAAAGCAAGCGTAGTCCGTTACGATATAGCCTGTTTATGTTGTCCACGGACTTCAAATCGTAGCGTGAGAGTATACCTAGGTCTTTCAAGGAGGGTGTGGGATATAGCGGTTGACCGTAAAGGGTGTAGTTTTGGCCGTCAGCACCCTTCCTCAGGCTCATAAATTCAGTCTTGGCTGAGTTGACCGGGAGATGAACTTCTGCAGACCATGTGGATAGGCGGTTGAGGTCTTGCTGAAGTAGGCCACAGTCATCGGGAGGGTTTATTTCCCTCCAAATCTTCATGTCATCCGAAAAATGCACACGGCGTCCGGAGCAGCTGAGGTAGATCGTTGATGTGGTTCAGGAACAGATTGGGCCCCAGTACATGCCTTAAGGCACGCCACTTTAAGAGGGGTGCCATTCAGTTAGATGGTCGTCAAAATGTACCCTCCACTTTCGTCCAACAGGAAAATCGCGGATTCACCGGTGCAGTAAGCCACTGACACCACGCATTCTGAGTCTGTGAAGGAGAACCTCATGGCTGACTTTGTGGAAAGCTTTACTGAAATCGATGAATATCACGTCGACGGACTCGCCTTGCTTATTGCCTTCAATCACTCATGCCTCGTCACAAGCAGGTTCCTAATGCATGAGCGATCTTATATAAAACCGTGATGTGCGAACGTCAAGATATCTTTTGGCTGTAGCAACTGCAGCAATCCCATCTTCACGATTTTATCAGCATCAGTTGACAAAATGGATGTCAGGTAAATTAGCCTGTACTTGTCAACTTTGCTAGGGTCGCCGCCTTTCGGAATAGGCTTCACCACCGAACATTTCCAGTCAACCGGCAACAAACCTTCGAAGAGCGAGCTGTTGAAAAGGTCAGTCACGACAGGAGAGAGTATGATTGAAATTGACTTGAGAACCAGTGGGTGAAGCCCATCATGTCAGGCAGGTTTGTTGCCGTCGCGGTTGGAGAATAGTTTAGCTACCTCTTCAACGCCGCAATGCAGACTATTGAGTTCGGTAAAAGCGGTACACGTCGAACTCGGAACAGACACTTGGTTATTCGCAAAAACGGAAGCAAAGTGCGCCGCCAACGCGGTCGCAGGCTTAGTGCTGGAGGTTAGGGGCTGTCCATCCAGCCCATCCGGCACTGACACATCACCTGCCGGCTTCAGGCGTCGCTTCAAGTAGGCAAACTTCTCTTTGGAGCGGTCTTCGCGGTTAATGCGAGCTGTTCTTCAAAATGTCGGCGTTTATTCTTTTTTGCACTGTTGCTGAGGTACCGCTGACATTCATACCCTTCGTAATCATTGGCAGAGACAGAGAGAAGGAATTTGTCCTTTGTCTGCGCCGCATCCGAGCCAAGTTTCCATACTCCTTGTCAAACCATTGAGGCTTAATCGGTCCAAAATTCCGACATTTCAATGGCACAAATTGGGAACTCAATGATGTCAATCTCACATTTATTAATATCCAACAGTTTTCCACAGAGACGGCTTGTGACAGAGACCAATCCTGTTGGCTCGCTGGTCGAGCTAGACCGTCAAATTCAGTTTTCCAGTGGTTGGGAGCTGGTTTCAGCCGACTTGAATACGGCAAACATAATTCCCTATCAGCTATGAGCACTGAAAGGTCGCTTCTAGCGAGGGGCTCTAGGATCTTAACGTCGCGCACTCGTTGTTCGTAGCTGGTTAACATCAGGTCAAAACAGGACGGGGTTGAATGTGTTGTTATGCGTGTTGGCTAGCATATGTATTGCATGGCACCAGTTTCAAGTAGGAAATCCACGAAGTTTGCTTTAACCTCATTATGTCGAAGCACCAAATGCACATCAGGCCATGGTATTCGTGGACAGTTAAATTCGCCAAAAAGTAGAACGTGTGGATTACTCATGTAGGTTGGAAGAATGGGCAGCTAATTCAAACAACCAATCAGGGGGCTGAGATAAACTGCGCCCACAAGCAGTTCGCTGTGCCTGAGGCGGATGGAGCACCACAGCAACTCACACAAACCATCGTCACTTCGGTAGGTGCTCACAAGTCTCCCACACAGGGAATACCGGATGTAACGTAAGACACCATCGTGGGCATGCTTTAGTTTATCGCACCGGAAGCACGAGTAACCGTTGAGTTCAACTTCTTGGGTGTATAACTCTGCATGCAGCCATAGCTTTGCGAGTCCTATTACATCTGGCCGCTCCTACGCAACGAAACAACAAAGCTGCACGTTTGTGAAGGCTACTCGCAAGCCGCAGCAGGAGCCGCCGTGCCTGCTTGTATTGTGAGTAGCCTGTTTATCCTGATTCGCTTATTGTTGGAATCCACCCGAAAATTTACGATACGAAGATATGTTTCCCCTCTCCAATGCATCTTTTCAGATTAATGATGGCAAACTTGAGCAACTCCCTATCTACTAGGTGCAGGTCTGGACGGATATGGATCTACAAACCTTTCGACCCTCTTAGGCGGGACATAATCTGTCTTGGACTGGCTTCGTCCAC